TATACCGATCGCTACAGAAAGTGATAAGCTTATCCGTCCGTCTGTCTGTCTTGCGCTTAAGACAAAGCTTGGAATTTTTCAGATATTTTGATGAAAGTTGTTACACCGGCATGTTTTGCATGCTCACGGATAAACACTGTTAAACATGGTTGGGCTCAAACTTGGGATGTACCCACTTTTTATTATACCGATCGCTACAGAAAGTGATAAGCTTATCCGTCCGTCTGTCTTTCTTGCGCTTAAGACAAAGCTTGGAATTTTTGAGATATTTTGATGAAGGTTGTTACACCGGCATGTTTTGCATGCTCACGGATAAACGCTACTGAAAATGGTTTGGATCCGGTGACTTTTTCGTCCACTTCCCATAAAATGCCTTACATGCAAAGATGAACAACTGTATTAAGCGAAGTAATGTACGATGTTTAATGATGGGCCTTGACCCACTACATTGTTTTCATTTGTTTTTCGCTGTAAATCTATACAGAGATCTCATATTTCGTTGGGAATTGGCCAATTATAAAAGAAATTACTTCGAGATACGTTAGATCAATAAAAATTTTACAAAATATGATCGTAATTATCTATTGGTAGTTACTCAATTAATCGCATTTACATATTCTATTGAGGTGGTCACAGTCCCAGTTCTCAGACTACTATGACATAAACTGTTCTCTAATTGCTGACTTTTTTCATTGCTGTTATTATATTATATTTTCCCTTGACAGGTTATATGATAATTTTTCATCTTACACGAAAATATGCCGATGGCGTGTTTTTTTTATTATTTGTAATGTTTTTTACGTCTAAAAGTTGTTTTCTAGAATGACGTCATTGCAAAAAGTAGATTATTATTTTTTTTTTAAGTTCAAAGCCTTTAATGGGATATAAAAAACAAAAATAAAACTAAAACTCTAAATTGTCTCATTTGTTTAAATGTCTATATGAAAATTTTTTAAAACATTTTAAATTAATTCAATTGTGTTTAATATACCCGTCGAAACACGTAAGCAAACTATACACATCTCTCCTGAGGACCTACCTAGGACAATTGTGGCCTTAAGACTTACATTTAATATAAAAAACTTGTTAAAATTTTCTCCTCAGTTGTCATGAAATTCAAAAAAAGGTTTTGTTATGAAGACTTTATTAGATTTTAGCTATTGATGTCAAGTTGACAAGTAACTGAAATCAGTCCTTAAATATAATCAGTGGGTTTCAAGTTTCAGGCTACGTTTCTTTATTTTCAAGGTTTTGAAAATGCTTTCCTTAAAAGAAGATCCCAAGTTTCAACCGAAGATTTTACGGTTTTGAAAATATTTGAAATAAACAGTTGGGTGGAGAGACTTTTCAAAATTTTGAAACGATACCCGTTGTAGTTCGTAGCTGTCTGTACCTCTTTAATAATAATAATAATAATAATAATAATGTATTTTGATTTATTTATCATTTCTATTGACTTATGGTAGCCTTTTTGTTGGTCAGATCATTTGACGTCCTTTGTAAATCTATCAATGTTCAGCATTTTACTTCAATTTTTATGATCCTGGAAAGGTGAGAAGAAACAGATACGACCAAGTGGGCTCTGAGACTAAATAAAATAAAAAATCTCTCTCGAATTTGTATTTCAATTGCGTGTTGCAAACGACATGATAAAATTGGAATATCTCCCTCGGAAAATGTGTTGATCATAAAAATAATTAAAATTCTTTGCAGGTTCGAAATCTTTTCATATATATTTTTTGTTTAAGATTCTTTTTATCTGCAAACGTAATTTATTTTTTAATGTAATTTGTATATACATACGCATAAGTATATAAATACATTTATTTATATAATTTTATTAGTATAATTGTTTTCAATAAGCGTATTCGGTATGTAATTAAAAATCTATTAGCCTGTAAAGGTCATTAATTACATGCACATCGGTATGTATGTGTATGTGTAGTCCAATAGTCTACAAAATATTCATATGCTAATAATAATTCCTGAATATAAATGCGTTACTAATGAGAAACTAAAGTTCAAACAAGTTTTTCGCTTAAATCTTTTATAATTGCAACCTTTACTTACCTTTACGGCAGAAGCATTTATTTTCAACATTATAACGACCATTATCGAAAGCATTATCTTCAAAACGATAGCGATAGCCTTTTAAACCGCGTTTATTTACAATATCTGTATCGGCCCTTACCTGGAACATATATATGAATTTAGAAAATCTTCGTTCATGGTTTCTTTTCTTTTTTTTTTTTTTTTTTTTTTTTTTATTTACTTACCAAATGAATAGGACGACACATACTCTTGCGAAAGAATTTTAACGTATCGTTTGGTTTAATAAAACTACGAAATTTACTGCCGTCTGAAGCCATTTCAATGTTACTGCAATGTTTTTCCGGCCAATTTGGCAAATCTGTATTACCTCTATAGGTAGCATATAAACCCGAAAGACTGGGATCACTTCTTCCCGTGTAAAATGTTTCATAATCACTATCGAAATCGTACATCTTGAATAGAGAAAAGGAAAGCCTTTAATTTAATGTTACTTGACCTTTTTTGGTTTTTTTAAACTTTTCATTTCAGTCAAAAACTTACCCGATCAATAATACCGACTTTATCGAAATAGATCCAATTCGGCAAAAATGTATTACCCAATGAGATTAATTTTGTATTATAGCCAAACATGAATTCTTTGGCTGTCATACGTACAATAGGTTCAGACTTTAGGGTACTAAATAATGAATTCAACGATAAACGTACGATAATATTTCGATCAGCAGTTAAGTGAGAGATTGCCTGCAATTAAGAATAAAAAAAGAAAAAACAAATTATTACAAAACAATTAATTTTTGAAATAACAATTACACGATAGATATCTCATTAAATATGTTGTAATAGAATGGAAATATGACAGCTGCTTAAGCTTTATGGTAATACATTGGTTCGAGGTGCAAATAGTGCTGCGTAATTGTTGCCATTAATTACTTCAGTAGATTATGTGATATATGTTAAATGTTTTGATATCCCATTGCTGTTCACTTCCATTCTCCGCCTAAAGTATTATTACGGACTTTCTTCTAATTATAAAGTTTACTTTTATTTTACATAATTATAAAAAAAAAAAAAAAATAAAATAAAATTATTAAGCAATGGTCATAATAAAATTCTTAATTTATTTTCATTTAATTGAAAATTGAAATAATTCCTAATTGCTGTACTTGATTTACAGCCCTTTTTATTATTCGAATAAATATTTCATTTAATATTTATAAGATTCTATAATGGCCCTACAACGCGATTAAAGAAATATATAAATGATAAATATTACTTTCAGCTTTTTTTTTTCTTTTTGTCTCTTTAATGTCATTTTCAAATTCAGTTTCAAATCTTAATTATACTGACAGACGTATAGGACAAAAATTTCAAGAAATTGTCAGCTTATCCAAGATTTCATCAAAATCAATTTTTTTTAGCTGAAATTCGCTTTCAGTTTTCAAATTACTTATGATTATTATTCGACTTGTACAGAGACTTCAACTATAATATGCATGTTCAAGCTGAATGAACCCTTGAATCTGTCTTTCAGTTTTTGCAATTTTGATAACTCTAGTAATAGGAAGACAGATGAGGGGCCTGCCAAACTTAAGCTGGCTTTAAATTTTTCTTTATTCGTCAATGTAGGCGTACTTTGTATTGAGAATGATTAAATTCTTTGGTATACCACCTGTGCTTGCGATGATACAAGTGCGCGTATTTCGTAAGTCCAAGTGATGTAAGACTATTAGATTATATTTATGAACTCATGCCGATTTAATAAGAGTAGTTTTTAAACCTGGCTCCGGAAGATGTGAGCTTGCCTTATAAAAGTCGGCATCTAGTAATTTTTAGGCAATTTATATAAATAAAGACAATCAGAAGATAGTCATATTCGATGTTGGAGGAAAATTATGATTTTTATCATCTAATTGTGGGCCTCCTTCCACCTATATAATATAAAATTTCAAATTTAATCGGGGAAACTAAGTCAAGTTTCTATGGGCCATGTGTCATTTTTGATGTTGCGACTGATCAAAGAGTGCATCACAAATGGACTGATGGAATACCGGACATTTGAACGCCGCGAAGACTTGCTTGGAAATAATGGGGCTCTTCCATCACGTAGGCAAACTAACATTAGTTTAGATATAAGACACTTGTACTTACACTTTTAATATGCGCTCCTGGGACAAGTCATATTCTTGACCAGTAACTGGTCTGAATCAAACATCAAACATGTTTGAAATACAAAAGAGAAGAAGGAAAAGCCGTTAAGTCAAATTCTTTGATTATTTGAAGTTAAACCTGTTCAAGAATTACCAGAATTGAAGGGCAATCTATGTTGCATTAAAAAATCATTGTTTTTTTTTTTCGTCGAGCTTTTATGCCCTATCTATCTACGGTGGTTTTCCAAAAATAGAGTTGACAAACAATTAACAAACGAAACAAGAATTTTATAGAGCAGCGGTAAGCCTAAGCTTGTGTTTCATTATCAAAGCACTTACACATCTTTTTTTTTCAAAATTTACCTTAAAATCCACAAAATAATGGTTGCTTGAAAAAAAAGCATATAACCTAGTAGAAGCAAAAGATACATTCATATGTGTATGTGTACGTGTGGACATAAACACACATGTTGAATGCATGAACTTGTGTATGCATGCTATACACATACATACATCTACATTTATAATGTAAAAAAAAAAAAAACGTCCAAATTATATATACGGACGTCCACATTATATATACGGAGGAAACTCAAACGATTTAGCGACATAAACTCGCACTACAAACAGTCTTTATTACCCTAATCTCCTTAGGTTTAATACAAGCTTGTGCGAATACATTCTACGTATATTGCAAAGAAACAAAACAAAATTATAAAAATTATTTTATAATTTGTTTTTATAAAACAGGTCAAATATGAAAATTCAGATGGAAAGCCGAAATTCGGTATACGTTTACTCTCTACAAACTTAAATTTGAAACAAGAAATCATCCGCACACAGCAAATGAAGAACGGTAGCTTTTAATAAATAAAATAGATTTTTATATACTTTTACTATAAATATTATTTTATATGAGCATCAAAAGTTTTCCCCTTTATTCAATTGACAATTAAAAATTTTTGCGAATGTTTGCTTGTCACCAGATTCAAAGTTCGTCCGCAGTTGATAAAAATGTTTGAAAAAATTATTTGCTGTTTGCATAAATACAGCAATGATTCGATTCCTTAAATATGCCGGAAATTACATAAATATTTCGAAATTTTTTTAATATACATATATTTATTTAGAATGACGAGCATCAAAAGTTTTCCGCTTTTACATACAATATCCTTCTATCTGTGATATCGGGTCAAATATTTATTAATATAATAATTTATTGATTTTGTCATGTCGGTCTGTCAGTGTGTTTCCCTATCATTTGACAATATCTCACTTAAAAGGTTAAAAATTTATTTATTTATTTATTTATTTATTTTTTTTTTTTTTTTGTATTATACGAATGGTCCATGCGCGTTTAAGAAGTTGTTGTTCGCGGATTGGTGAGTACGACTTGAGCGTAGTACATGATCGCAGCTTTGTTGTATGCGCAGTCGGTAAAGGCACTTACCAATCCATTAGACGACACCCATTACCTATTTTTTTTATCTTCTTTTCTTACTTCACCCGAGTGATATTAAAAAAAAAAAATTGTTACAAATTTTTGGAAAATTTTCAACATTTATTTTAGGCCGATCCCGCTTCAATAGGCAATCGTTAGAAACCTAAAGGGTTCAAATGACCAACATGTGAGTTCACACAAAAGATTTTAGCGCCGATATGAATTGTTATTGATTATTGCAGGTGTTCCGCTCGTGATTAATTGAGTCCACTAGGGTATTTTCTTCCAGACATAATTCTCTGAATTAGACGCTAATCATTACAGTAAATATTAAGTGCGACAATGTACTGCGTATTTAAACTTCATTATTGCATCTTATTAACAGCTTTACGTCATCAGATAAAAAATCATATTAAAAGCTAGCTCGTACCAGGGATTAAATACGAAAACAGGTGTTCCTATTACAAGTTACAATTAAATTGTAATAACACTGAACTTCTTATTGTCATTCGTACGCATTGTGACGGCTGTCAAAGAAACGAATCCCTAACACTAGAAGTACCCAGTATGCTCTTTTGACCCTTTTTAAAATCGCGCATGTAATGTTCCAAAATATTTTTATGACTTTTACAAACATAAAATATCATCAAAAAATGATCCCAATCGATCTACCGATTTTTATAATTAACGATAAATCTTCCAAGTTTTTTCTAGTTTGCCTTTAGGTGGCATAAAGAACATGTATTCCAGGAAATTGGAAAATATCAAACCTATTTTTGTAAAGTTGGTTCCTTAATCGATCAAGGAACGCAACAATGGCCCAATTTCATCTTCTCATCTCTATTTTTGCAACTGTGGTGGTTTCATAAAAAAAGAACATCAAAGATTAAGTATTTACAAAAAAATCGGCAGCTCTAGTGTTAAGGCATTTATTAAAGGGAAACAATTTAATATATATAGTCTTGCCATTCGAAGGGCAAAACAAGCAAAAACAAATATCGTAGAGCAAGGCCGATCGCTGAGTACACTGCACAACTTCGGCTAATTCAATTATTTGTTCGCTTTCGCGATAAATCAGTCAAAAATTATACCGTGTTGAAGGCTTTTCGGGGAAGTCTCTATATTGAAGGGTGTTCAACACATGACCTGACATAATGAAAATAGAGCAAATTTTGCACTCTTATTAAAGGCTTTTTTTTAGTATTTTTCATCTATTTTTGCCATCAAGAACTAAACTTTGCGAAAGGATATCTTTGATAAGAAACCTTATAAGTGACAGAGTCAAAAAATATAGCTTTGCAATCTTAGTTTGCTTACTTAATGCGCTTAATTTTTATGCCAAATAGCTGTTAGGGACCAATTAACAACTATAAAATCTTAAAAATTATATGTTTATGCTCTCCAAAGTCTTATCATTCATGAGATTATTCGTGAGGCTATTTATGGTCCAAAAAATTGAACTTTGTGGCTGAATTTCGATTGTCAAAGTAATACTTTGCACCGATCATAAAATATTAATTAAAATTAGACCTGTTCACCAGGTTTGAAGGGTTAGTTCTCCCAGGAACGGTTACAGGTTATAGGATCTGGGGCTCAAGAAATTCTACGTAATACTATTGCTTAGCCTTTTTTTTTTGTCGAGAACTTATGAATATCGTAAGACTCTTTCAAAATAAACTTTAAAGTTTTGCATGAAGAACGATCACAAACATGGTCCGATCCTATCTGTTTTTAAAAGAGAGAAAGTTGACTTTAAAATTTTTACTTGCATGTTGTTGTTATGCAATATGTGGATACCGTATTTATCAGATACGCAGACAGACAGATGAGCTTAAATCGATTCAAAAAATGATTCTGAAGGTGTGTCCGTCTTAAGACCATCTGACAGTAGCGTTCATCCGAACAAACTTTGTATACCTTATAAACCAGGTGGTGTAGGTAATAAAGAATGTTTGTGTATTTGCAACGAGTGTTTGGGAATCGACATGAAGACAATAAAACTTGTTTTCATTCCTCCCTTTTCTGGAATATTTCATAAACTATTTCACTCTTGGACATGTACTCAAGCACGAAACTTTGTTTAATCATGCAATTATTTGAAATTAAATCTTTAAGATAAACAAAAAAAAAAAAAAAACAAAAAAAAATTCCATTCACTTGTAAAAAAAGAGAGGATTAAATGTTCTTTTTATTGGAAAAAATCTATTATTAATTAATAGATTTTAATAATAAAACTAAAAATAGGAAAAAAAAAATATATAATATTTAACTCAGTACTTTTCCTATTGCATTATTTTATGAATATTAAAATGAAAAACAACTTTTCTAAAACAGGTAGCAGTCATTCGGCTTTCAAGTTAAATGAAATCAATAAAAAGAACAACATATACATCTACATATCTATATATCTTTTTTGCCGCCAACTAAATTCACGTCTAATGAATTAATCTGACATTTAACACGTCATTCAATTTTTATTAAGGAAGAATTGATAGAAAGAAAAAAAAAAAAAAAGTAAAAATAACTTTTATATATCAATTAATTTTCCATTCTGAATATGTTATTACATGCTGTAGTTTTTGTTACACCCCCAAGGCTGTTTCAATAGACTTTATTTGTTATATTCTCGTTCAGTTTGTCAAATACTTTATTGCATTGCATGCATTAAATGTAAAATATTGTTAGTAAAAAGGCCATGAGATTATTGTTAATTGTTGAGGTAGGAAAAGGTTAGAAAATTTACGATATCTCGCATTAAACTTGTGCTTAGGTATGACGATCATGATCATGATCATTATCATGATGTTGATGCCGCTTATAATGAGTAAGTAGGTATATAATGTAGAGACAGTTAGTCTGTTTCAATTTTATACATGTTTTTGTTGTTTTTTTTTTTTGTGTTTTTTATTAAAATGTTGTTTTTTTTTTTTTTTAATAAAACCAGTTAACGTTTATTGACCTGTTAGTGCGGTACATGGGAAAAGATATATTTATTCCGGATAGGTAAATAGAGAGCGATCGAAAAAGTCATTTACTAGTATTAAAAATTATGTAAAAAATTATTCTTACACTCATTACCATGTAAGGTGTGGGTGATATTTTATGAATTTTCATACATTTGTTTTGTGAAAAATTAAAAATTGGGATACGAGCCAGCTTTAAATACCTTACACTACCTTGGTTAATACAGTTATTCATATAAAGACTTTTCAAAATAGATGGGGAAGTAAGTGGTTGAAAAAGTGATCCGATTCGAAATATTTTGAATATCGTTCGTGCTTTAGCCAAACCGTGTTGGTGTACGAAGTTTCGCCATGTCGCTTGAATATAGACAGACGAGTTTGACTGATATAAAATTAATGGTGAATCGATCGATTTAACAAAAGATGGATCTACCTTAAGTCCTTCTGATTGTTGTATACAACGGGTTTGCTTGGAATTGAGATATATTTTTCATTCCGATTGATTAGGAAATTGAAAGACTATATCAATTACGATTAGATATTTGGTGCTAAAGTAATTTTTTATAAGAAAATCTTTTTACCTTCGGCCAAAAATTCCTAAATTAAAAGCTCTATGATATAATTAATGAAGAAAATGACATTTATCGGCTTTTAGAACTAAATCTGACGAAACTGATCACGAAACTTTTGCTAAGCTAAAGTTTTGAAATCATTATTGCCATTATTCAATAGCCGGACGGAAAGACAGATGTGCCCTCAAACATTTCCGCAACTTTTCGATGATCGGATGTATACGCATATGTTTATACATTAGATGTTAATATATAAAATAAATCCATGAAATTAAGAGCAGTTGCTTCTGTCGCACCCTGTATATGTATATACAAGTTCGCATTCACGCATGTACGTAGCTAAATAAGCAGATAAAACTGATTTATTTTTCATCTCTGTTTTGTTTATCGTACTGGTCACGTCAATAATCGTAATAACAGCTAAAATAATAATAATAGGCACAGTCATGTGCAAACCACGCGAGTTTAATGATAGTTGTTTTTATTAATTTCTTTTGTTTTTTTTTATATTTCTTTTTTTTTTTGGGAAATAATTTTTATGGAAACAGTTTAAGTAGCAATTTCGTCTAAAATGTCAACGAATTAATTGAGATTAAAGATTACGTAAGCAATTCAGAAGCTTGTCAGCTATTTTAAAATCTATCTTTTTATATATTTCGCATAGATATAAACACTGATGAAATGTAAAATTATTTCAACTGACATTTAACTAACGCAAGTCTGTGAACATATTCTTATATAAGAAGAAAATTTCTTAATTACGTCATCCATTCTAAAATCTATATTCCGAATTATACTGCGTCATAAATTGCGCACAATTTATCCTACATTTACTAGCTCGCTGAAGTTAATGTATGACATACATTGTCATCAGCTGTCAGCTGTTGTTATTACCCCATAAATAAATCCTGTTAGTATAACTTACCAACATTGCTATGTTTAACATAACAACTGGATCATCTTCCTTATTGCCTTCAGATAAATGTTCTTGCCAAACGAGTGGATGACGTGGTAACGCAGACATGGTATCATTTGCATTGAATGTAACATTCTCATGGGTAAATAGTTCTCTGTTAAAAAAGGAAAAAAAAAAAAAAAAATTAAACAATTAAAAAAAAAAATGTTTAGAATAACTCTAAACAGAACTTATTTTTTTTTTTTTTTGGGTTGAAATGCATTCTTCTTTGCCTTATTATGAACACTCACCTGTATACATAGGGACCCACTTGTTGAACATTCATCTTCTCGCGTCCCGCGAGAAAAGCTTCGGCATTTGTTATATTAAACAGATAAATTTTAATATATAGATCAATTGGTGGCTTTGCCCACAAGTCAAACATTTCATTGTTCTCTCTCATAATTAGTTTCTATTAGAAAGATAAAATACAGAAAATATAAATATAAATATAACGAGCATTCTTCATATGCATATTTTTTTTTTATATTATATAAAAATGATAAAGTAAACTAAAAATAATAACAACAGTATCCGGCGTGGAACGCATTCAACCTAATTGTGTGAAACTGACTTTGCAAAGTAAATTAGATTGTGGGACAATTGTAATAAAAGAAATTTTTTTCTAATGTTTGATAAAAAATTTTTGCACACCATTCGATTCAAAATCGATTTAAATATTTAATAAATATTTTTAAAATTTCAGGACGACTCTTTCATTTCACTTATGACAGAGGCTTTTAATCAGATGTGTATACTCTTAAATCTAGGTAAAATTCCGAAAGCCGTTAGTGATGCCCATCTAGGCATTTATCCTTTGTTTTCACTTCGCAAATACTAAGAAACAACGGTGAAGACATATGCCGGTCCATAAATCAAGTTTCCGAAAATATCAAAAATTTTGTTGATCGAAAAATTCGTAGTTTGTATCGGATTGCTACGGCCTTACTACTAAAATACCTAACAAATGTTGGCTAAATGCTTGAGGAAAAGTTTCCAGATGAACGAAAACATTTTGCAGCGAATTTAAAGTATTGAGGACTTGCGCGTTTAGTTAATTTATAGTTTTATCCAACAACTTTTCAAAAGGAGTTTCATTTCCTCTTTCCAGCCATTTTTGAATTGTGAACATATAGCTATCATTGTAATGACGTCTCATAAAGACTACTAAAAGGTTTTCAAATACATTTGACTGCATATTCAGTGATTGGATACTTGAAAATCACCACCATTACCGTGACTTTTTAAACAAAAGTATTTCGAGTAGTCAGGCCTTTTTCATGTCGCTAAGTATTTCAATAACAAAACGCTCCCGTTCATTACTACGAAAATCCAGAAAAAATCCTCTCCAACCATGACGATTGATAATTTGATACCATTGGGCTACATTTTCGAGAATTCATTTGATTCTAACATTACAGTACATTGCTATGCCCGAAATGTAGGCAAGGATTACTTCTAGTAGACGGGCATCACTTGCCACATAGGACGTAAAATAATAGTTGTATGACGTGATTATTTTTTAAAATGATACCTCTAAGTAAATAATAAACATTTTTGACTATCAAATTCAAAGGGTGGGAATTTCAGATGCACTCTACTCTGTGTTCAAAAAGTGAGACGAATTTAATTTTTTCGTCTTTAAATCTATTTATTATTTCAAAACTATTTTGTTTCTTTCAAATTAATCTTCAAATTCAAATTAGATTTTTTGCGAACAGTCTGGCCGGGCGGAAGGAATTCATAATTCACAACACCATGATAATCGAAGAAAACATCACTTTTTCGCTATTCGCGTGATAGATCGGTTATTTCTGAGTCGCATGCGCAGATTCAAGTCTCATAGTGCGTTTCTTGACCGGTTGATGGCTAGAAATCATCTTCTCACAGAAGTATTATAAAAAATCGGAATAAATGCTCTTTGTGTTGTATTATGCCAAGTGCAGCTGAAACACTGAAACGATGCTTATAAAGTGAAATTTGAGACGGACATCTGTCATAGTGCTTTTAATTTTGGTCTTACTTTTTGATCGCAGTAGTATTAAAGACAAACAGAAGATTGCAAGCAAACAGATAAACAGAGGAATATAAGGATATTTATAAAAACATTTAAAGTCTGTTTATAAAGATGTTTTTCAAAAAAATAACTCACCCAATTGAAGATCATATCGTAAGGATGAACAATTTTACATAAAATCGCGATACATATTGCTAGAATGCCAAGAACTAAAAGCAGAAATGAACCTGAAAAGAAATTTCAAAAAAAAAAAAAAAATCTTTATATAAAACAAAAAAAAAAAATGAAATCTTAATCTAAAGGAAGAGAAACAAAAAATCGTAATTTAAACGACAGAGAATTTCTGTTCTCTTCTTCGGCTTCATCGCTTGATTTATAGATCCAAAGCAAAGCAAATCAAAATTGATTTACTTAGTTGGATTAAGTAAATTACAACGTGCTAGCAAGTCAAGGTAAAAAGTGAGCGTACGCAACGTATGAAACAAGCTTCCTTCACTAACAAAAAGCAAGAACAAAAATCTTAAAATTGATAAAGACACAAAGTAAGAAGAACAATAATAATTATCGAGCATTTGCTTGCATTTTTATGTATAAATAACATGTCAATGATTACAAAACGACTTAGTTTACAAAAAAAAAAAAAAAAAAAAAAAAAAAAAAAAAGATGAGAAATATTTCTGGCCTTCTACTCAAACCAAGGTCATCACTTTTACACACGCTTGACAATGTTGCATACTTATGCAGTTCTATGTAAGAGTTCGTTTAAGGTCTGAAACAAAGAAGAACCAATTATGCAGAGGTAAACAGAAAAAACTAGTTTATAATGATACGAAAATTTTCCAAAATAAAACAACAAAATAAATAATGGGGCAGGTTTCAATTTTTTATATTCCGTTCAACTTTCTGGATAATCCTTTGTTTTTCAATTAACAATTATCGTATATATATATATATACTAGGAGCAACTTGTAGAGATAAAAACGATAAAGAAATGGGAAAGACTAGTGTAGATAATGATTGAATTCGATGGTTTCGACTTTCCTTTACATAAAATAACAGTTTTTCATGTAATATGAATGATTTACTTGGCGTACGTTGACGCTAATCACGAGGCGTTCAAAATTCTTTCTCTTCTAAATTCATTGCTTTTATAGTTTGTTTGAAGAAATCTGCCCACCAAACACGTTCAAAGGCTTATGATGATGCTGCTCCATCATATCGCAATTGTCGGTTTCGGGCTCAACGATTTAACAATGGCGACGCGAATTGACGAAAAATGACATTTTTTGCCTACTTGTTGCCAGAGTTGTCCAGAAAACACTGCTGTAGCTTGAATGGGAAGTTTTGCCACACCCAGCATACTCATCAGACATGACACTCCCTGTTTTCTGCCTGTTCAGATCGATACAGCATGGCTCGGCTGCCAGGGTCGGTCTCAAAGTTGAACAAATACGCAAGAAAGGCCGCCGGGTAGATCGCTGCCAAACCAATAAAAATTCTTTCGACGTGATTTCGCAGTGATGCCAAAAATATTGTAAAATGTTGCAGAAAATGATGTAAACTATTTTGATTAACATTTATTGTATCAAAATTGTTCCACAATAAATGCCGTTTTTCAAGTGAAAAAATGGCCAAAATATATGCAATCTCGTAATATAATTAAATGTAGCAAGAAAGTAAAAAAGAAAAAAAAAGGATTTATTTAAAATTCAATTTTTCAATTTAAAAATTGATAGTAAGATTACTTGCTTTCATATTCTAAATACAAGAACAATTTCTAGGTGCTGCGATAAGTCAATAAGAAAATTAAGAAAATATTTAACAATTGAAAAATTGCTACAAAACAAGAGGGCTTACAAGAGTCGATGCATTCTGTGCAAATAAAACACTTGTACAAACAAGTGTTGAAGTGTTTTGTATATTCACGTGCTTTTTGAGCTGATGAAGCATGACGCATTCAATAATAAGCACTCTCGATGCCGAGAGGCTTGTCAACGTTTTAATCACACATTTCTACACTATACATATGTATATATATATATATATATATATATATAAGATATGCCCAAATACGTTTGTATCGATATATATAGATATATATGTATTTATATATATATATATATATATATATATTTTTATATATATATTTATTTTTTTTTTTTTTTTTTTATTAAGTATATAAAAAGTGTTATGGAATATTTTTGTAGCAAAATTCCTATATATATATATATGTGCTCTTGTGTCTATGCAATATGTATTTCGTTAAAAAATATAATATGTTAAGGATGAATAGCGTTTTGCTTTTTCTTCCAATTCACTGACTGATCTGTTGTAATAAAATATCAATAATAATTTAAAAAAAATGGCAATAAAGTACGCAATTTGCATTATTAATTGTTTATTAGACTCGTAATGAAAAATATGATTAATCAAATTATAATGTTAGGCGATATGCGATAACCAATTACAAGGTATTATTTTGTTTATTACTAGAAAAATATAAAAACCACAAAAACTTTCTCATATATCATCGCTAAGCGATATATAATAACTTTTAAATCTCGGCCATTAAGTTGAATATATTAGAAAAATAAACAAAACAACAAAAAAAAAATGCGCAAAGGTTATATTATACATATATGGATCCTGGCACGGCAATGGCACAAAAAGTATTTCAAATATTTGCCAGAATTGTAAGATCTTATGCTGGCCTTAGTATAATCAAAAATTGCATTTTTTTTTTTTGTTAGAATAAATTATTAAGCAATACGTATGAATGAATGGAGCACTCTTTTCTCTTTGAGGGAACCACTCGAATATTCGTACGAATTTAGGTGAGAATATGTTCGTATATATTTCTTTTTCAATTCCATTTGTGATTGGTCCGTGAAACAACATTTCAAAATTGATTCATAGTTTCATGTTGACGGCGAATATACAATATATATTTTATTTTGTATGTAAGGCATCCTCTGAGTTGTTGCAAATTAAGTTAACATTCTCTTAAACTTAGTTGACATGTGTGTTGTATCCGTTCATTGAATGTGTGTTACTCCATTTCTCCGCTGAGTCTGATTACATTTTTTTTCTTTTTTGCAATGCATCAAATTTCTCAAAGTCTTTCTATTTCTGAATGTTCCTGAATACTTAATCAATTGATGTTGAAGTTATATCCATCTTCATACTCGCCAAAGGTGGTGGGATTTTTTTTAAAGTCTCGACACAAGTCGAGATTGCAGCATATTGAAGAATATGATGAGACCATAAGAGAGCTGTAAGCGTGGCAACATCAACACTTGTTAGTAAAGGCTCATTTATGCTGAGTAAGCATGACTCCACCGGGTTTATAATATTTTGATTGCGTACTTGGTATATGTTGGTTGTATAAAATTAGTTTCATGCTATACTCTTAAGGGCGTTATAGAAGGAAAAAAGCAATATAATAATAGCAATGTCCGTATGACTAACCAAGCAGACAAGAATCGCGAAGAACTCAGTATTTGCGGGCTCCAAATCTCGGTGTAGTAGAGCTTACTTTCTTCGTAGTTATCGTGAATGCTTAGTCAAGTAAAGCCACAATACATAGCGATTGACCAGCACCTTCTTATCTCTTCCTCTTTCCTTTCAGATTGTTGTCGTGCTGCACGAATAGAAAACATCCTCTGTTCGAAGAAGAACTTCTATGTCTGCCTTGAGGCCTTGGAAACGACAGACGATTTGAACGTCCACTTCTTTTCGACTTGCCCCCTCTTTCAGGTATGCATGGCATTATGCCTTGATTGACTGATCAGATTAAAAATAAAAAAAAAGTTTAGGTTTTCCATCTTAACCCTTAATAATCTCCTATTAGAGAATGTTTCCGTTGTGTTCCCAAGCAACAACCAGTTTCGCTAAAATTCCATTTGATTCTTTACCAAAGCCATTCTGCCTGTTATGAACAAATAGTTATTCTAATTACTTATTTTAACAACCGAAGCACTTATCAATGTTGACGCAAGTGAAGCGAAGAGGCAATCAAAGTGGTTGAAGCAATTAATCAAATGAGAAGAAGACATGTTGCACGTGCAATAATAAATTTAATATACTCTTTTGTAGTAGAAATACAGCCAGCAATTAAATTAGCAAAACAAACGTATTTCTTTAATTGCATGTAATAAAAGCAATTAATTATACTTAGAATTTATAGGGCAAAAAAAAAAAATAAATAATAAATAATATATAACCACCGTCAGAGGATAATGTTGGCATGACTTCATCGTCCGTTTTATTGCATCTAAAGATTCCGCTATAAGATATTCATATATTCACGATCTGAACTTTTCATAGAAATTTGATTTGATTATAATTTCATTTCGCCCTGATTTTCGCGAATTATAACGAAAGTTAAAATTTGATCTACGTATTATCGTTTCAGTTCATCATTTATTATTTTAAAAAATGATCACAAAATCCTTGTGCTAAGCCTTTTATCTTTAATGTCAAAAATTGGCATAATCTCCAAGCAAACGGCATCATACTAGGAGGAGCTTAGAGCTAGATGTTAACATGTTAAAGGGAAATTTGTTATTAAGAATAAATACCAGTTTCCCGGTCATAGGATTCTTTGCGCTGCTTTGCCATTTTTAAGTCGATTTCATTTGATTATTGCTATCTCGTATATTTTCGAGATTAAGCAAAAAGAAAAAAAAGAAAAAAAACCTTTAGAGTAGATAGTCGGGTATCTAAAATTCGTCCTAAGTCAATGAAACTTTCTCGCTTGTTGTTTTTAACACTTTGCTTGTTTGTTTGATAGAGAAAAGTGGAGGAAAAAATTGTTGTCACATACTATTATTGCATCATTTTTCGTATTCTATAAAACCTTTAAATCATTCAAACAGCGAGATTGATTACTTCCTCATTGCGAAAATACATTTTCAACATTTTCGTTATGCATATTTTATGTGCACTCGTGTGTTCACATCTAATTTTCTTTATTTTTTTTTAAATAATGAAAATAATTTAGACAAACAAGATCCTTTAGTTGTTTTGCTAAGTAAATAGTATTAGATATTACATAATTTGCACGCTATATACTACGGACAGGCATATATGGCTTTTTGTGTGTTTAAGTACAACTCTCAAGAATGATATATTTTTATATTAAATCGTATGTACTCAGTTTCTATTATGGTTATAATTTTTTTTTGAATCTTAAAAGAAAAATCTAATCAGTATTGCCACCTCCCTC